ATAGAAAGTACGCTTATTAAGTTTGCAGATGATACCAAGCTGGGAGGGGTTGCGACTAATCTGGAGGATAGGGTCATAATTCAAAATGACCTGGACAAATTGGAGAAATGATCTGAGGTAAATAAGATGAAGTTTAATAAAGACAAATGCAAAGTGCTCCACTTCTGCTCTACTCTGCAGTGGTTAGGCCTCAATTGGAGTACTGTGTCCAGTTCTGGGCACCGCATTTCAGGAAAGATGTGGAGAAATTGGAGAGGGTCCAGAGAAGAGCAACGAGAATGATTAAAGGTCTAGAGAACATGACCTATGAGGGAAGGCTGAAGGAATTAGGTTTGTTTAATTTAGAAAAGAGAAGATTGAGGGGGGACATGATAGCAGTTTTCAGATATCTAAAAGGGTGTCATAAGGAGGAGGGAGAAAACTTGTTCATCTTGGCCTCTGGGGATAGAACAAGAAGCAATGGGCTTAAACGGCAGCAAGGGAGGTTTAGGTTGGACATTAAGAAAAAGTTCCTGTCAGGGTAGTCAAACACTGGAATAAATTGCCCAGGGAGGTTGTGGAATCTCCATCTGTGGAGATATTTAAGAGTAGGTTAGATAAATGTCTATCCGGGATGGTCTAGACAGTATTTGGTCCTGCCAGGAGGGCAGGGGACTGGACTCGATGACCTTCCGAGGTCCCTTCCAGTTCTAGTATTCTATGATTCTATAAGCCCTACGGTAAGGATGAAGATGGTGCAGGGCCATGGGGAAGTGACCCAGAGAATTAAAACAACAGTTTGACTTAAATAAAGAGACTCAGCAGACAGCTGCTATCTACAGGGTCCCTATAACATGACCCAGAGTAGTAGGTGGCGCTGGGTCCTGTCTCCCCCATTGCTCATTAGCCACTACACTAGAGGGAAGTGGCCTGGATGCTGAAGCACCCCAGAAGGGAAACTGAAGTATAGTGGCCCAGCTGGAGAGCTATAGTGAGGAAGCCCCAAGACAGCAAGGACATTGTCTCCAGGGAAATAGCCCTGCGATACTGCTCTATCCCAAAGCAGAAAGAAATTATGAGAAAGGGAGTGTAGGCACATGCACTCAGCCAAGGGGCCATTGATGACAGGGGAGTGCACCCATTACAAGCAATCATGTAAACAATATATGAGCAAATCTTTTACAAAACATATTACAGCTATGCAAAATTCTCAGTTTGCATTTTGTGATTTTTATATAAGGATATGCAAATGTATGTAAATAGTTATAAATGTATTCAACTGCCATTATGCAATTTACACAAGGAAAAAGTCTCATGAAATGCTAAACATATAAACTGGAGGAAAGCTGTTGTTTAGAGAAGGGATTCCTTTTATTTTCATTGAACTTATACAGTTTTCTACCAGGAGTGAAGACATACATGACATGAATAAAGCAAGCTTTCTGTCAGACTAAAAACATATGTTGAGCACAACAATTGACTTCCACATACAAAGAAAGCTTAACTTTTTTTCTGGTTTTGACAAGCAGCAGAAAAATCTTTAGACAGCTGTAATGGTAACTCATGGAATAACATAAAGATCAAGGACTGCTTCTGATCTAGAAGAATGAACCACCACATAAGATGAGCACTGTACAGTTGTATTTTGTTTTGTGATTGAAATCAATATATTTAAAAATATAGAAAACATCCAAAATATATAACACACTTCAACTGATATTCTAGTTTTTAACAGTGAGATTAAAACTATGATTAACCACAATTCATTTTTGAGTTAATCATGAGAGTTAATTGTGATTAAGTGTGATTAATCAATTATGATTCCTACACATAATGTTTGGAAAAGGTATGTATCGAATCCAAGCTGCAATCTTACAAATCTCCCTGATGGGAACGTGCTCAAAAAGACCTTGTGGAATGGACTGACACCCTAGAAGGAGGTTGTATATCAGCAGATTCATAGTAAGAAATAATACATCCAAAAATCTACATGGAGACTGTGGACCTTTTGTACTTGTCAGCAATTGAAACCTACAGCCTGACCAACTTTTCTAAATGGCTTGATTCTCTCTATATGCACCATGACCCCATCTCTCCCTGCTGGCTCAGGAAGGTGGTGGCCCCATCCTTTGGCGGTTGGGCATTTAGGCAGTTTTGGAAAATACTTGAAGTAAAATCTCTTCCCCTGTGCTGTTCAAGAACTGGTTCTATCAATCCTAAGCATATAAATTGAAGGCAATTTCCTGTCTCAGCAAGTGATTGTGAAAGGGATCCCTAACGGACAAAGAGGTGAGCTGGAGAGGGGGGCAGTGAGAAATTATAAAATTGGATAATTAATTTTACCTATCGAATAACAGCTGTTTCTGTGAAGTCTGCTCATGTGTGGGTAGAAAATGGGAGAGATGGTGGTGAAAGAGAGGTAGGTAAACTGGTGCAGCTGGAGAGATGAGAAACAGCATTGTTCCAGGCCTTTGATCAGGCCATCAAAACTTATATTTTGACATTGAGGAAGGATGACTGGTTGAAGCAGATGTAGTGTGTTTTTTTTTCTTTGAAACCTTGATTAAGAACATAAGAATAGCTATACAGGGTCAGACCAATGGTCCATCTAGCCCGGTATACTGCCTTCTGACAGTGGCTGCTGTCAGATTCTTCAAAAGGAATGAACAGAACAGAATAATTATCAAATGATCTAGTCCCAGTGTCTGGCAGTCAGAGGTTTAGGGACAGCCAGAGATAGGGGTTGCATCCCTGACCACCTTAGCTCACAGTCATTGGTAGACCTGTTATCAATGAATGTATCTAATTCTTTTTTGAACCCAGTTATACCTTTGGTCTTCACAACACCTCCTGGTAACGAGTTCCACAAATTTACTCTGTTTAATTTTTTGCTTGGTTGGCTCAGTACGTCTTTGGAAACCTGGAAACTTGAAAGGACAGTATCTCTGTGTCTTCTGGGATCTAATAATATGTGTACTAGAAGGTGTAAAAATCCCAAGAGATTGCAAGCATTTGAAGGCGTGTAGTGATTCATCAGTGGTCTCAGTAAAGAGTGTCAACTACCTTGAAGAGAGTATAGTCTCAGGTAGCTGCTTAGATTTCTGTGGCACCAAGGATGTCATTATGCTAGGTACCAGAGTGAAGATCTGTTGATACTGTCTTGCTGGAAGCAGACTATTTCTCTCTGCTGCCCAGGTTGTGTTTCAACAATACTGAAGATGGTTAAGATACAGAAGCATGCTTGGAACTCCTAGAGGAATTCTGAGTCTTAGAAACATCATTGGTACTAGAGGAGCCTGGACCCTCAATGATACCCACAGAGGACCTGAAGGCTCAGATATGATTGATTTGTGAGGAGACAATTTTTCTGAAACCAGCATTTTTGTGCAGAGAACTTTTCTTAGAGGCCTTCCCAGAAGCTTCTCATGTCTTCACCTAGACTTCTGAAAGAAAATGTGCTTCTAAATGTGCTCCTTACCCGCGTGAGGAGACAACCCCATACATCAGTCTCAAAGTGAAGATAGTGCCCTACTGCCATATGGGCACTATGTTCACATAGAAACTAATGTCTGGGGGATTGTCTCCTCACCTGGGTCCAATGATGGTCACGATTTTTCCTAACCCCTGCTCTGAAGGGCTGAGCTGAAATTGCACTTTTGAGGGAAATGTCCATCACTGATGGCGATAGCCTCCCAGCAAGTGAGGCAACACTTGTTTTGCCAGGATCACTGGAATTCTCTCAAACGGAGCAACAACCTCCACGGAGGAGGAGAGGAGAGGACAAGAGAAATAAAAACCCTCTTTTTAAGAAAGAAAAAAAATACACTAATCACCAAACTCTAAAACTAATTAAGAGTTAAGAGTCATGGTACGAGCTCTGTCTCAAGCTGAGGCAGCTGAGAAGGAAGTAAGGATCTCTAGCCTCTCAAGGGCTTAGAGATGTGTAGGGAGCATCTGCAAGCCAAACAGGCATTGCTACCAAAAATCTCTGATCAAAGGTGCATGAGGCAAATGTACACCTGATGTGGAGCACACTTAGCCCTGGTCTACACTAAGGAGTTATTTCAAAATAACTTCCCTTATTTCAAAATATCAAGTGGAGCGTCCACACTACCAAGCCTGTTATTTCAAAATAATTATTTCCTACTGTAGACATACCCTTACTGCTCGAAGAACTGTCCCTTCTTGTTCAAGTATCAGTGTGAATCCCATTATATGTGACCAGAATGTTCACTGGATGGTTGAAATGAGGAGTTTCAATAGTATTAATCAAATAGTACTTGAAGTATTGCTCTCCCAATTTTGTCATCTAAGCTAGTATAATGTTTGGACATAATGGAATAAAGGATATAATCAGGGCTCGACAAACCGCTGTTTCTACTCGCCTGTGGTGAGTAGATTTCAGCCAGTCGCTCCATGCGCCCCATTCACTGGCGCTGCACGCATGCGCAGTGTCGGTCTGGTGCGTGCGTGGTGCGGGGCTGGCGAGTAGCTCTCGCCGCAGTTTGTCGAGCCCTGGATATAATATATGACAAAGGTCAGTGGGTTGTTCCACATTGCTGCTCTGTAGATCTCAGATATCAGCATTTTTCTGAAGCAGCCTGACCATTGACTATGCCTGGTAAAGTGACTGGCTTACCTGCCAACAGAGTAGATGTTACTGTGTGTCACTGTGTGATCCATTTAGAGTTTTTTCTGATAAGATGGCCCAGTATTTGGAAGAGCCAGATGCCTACACAGAAGCAAGGAGAAACCCTAAAAGGCATGTGTTTTAGCACCCCCAATCCTGGACTGATGAAATAAATACCCTCCTTGAAAATTAAAACAAGTCAGCAAAAGGTGTTGTTAGTCAACTTTATTTTCTTGAAAAATAATTCAGAAATTGTATCAGTTTGAGTAAATACTTTTAAAAAAATTACTATTGGTACATTCTTAGTACAGATTTTACTGTTACAAAAGCAAGTCTGTCGTTCTTTATATTTCTCATAGGCTTATTCATTCGTCATTGTCTGGTTCTGGGAAATGATTAATCTCAATCACTGAGACTACTGGAATCCAATGAATGGGATTTGCAAATATTACCCATGGATCTTTGTGCTGACTCAGAAATATCTTCACTTGATTTCATTATAGTCAGTGTTTCATTAAAGGGAGAAGCTGTGACAGTTTTGTTTTCAGTTCTTGACTTTGGAATCCTTGTTTTTCCAAGTTGTGGGAATGTAGAATTTTCATTTTCTTGATCATCACAGAATGAGTGGTTTGACTGAAATACGACAGGAATTTTAACTCTTTGCTTTCTGTTAGTACTTGACAAGTATGAGTTCCGGTTTCCTGTACAAATGTCATTTGAGGGGGAAACATGAGAAGTGGAATCATCTGATAAACAGTCACAGGATGTTTCAATACTCCCGCTGGATGAAAGTGTAGATGAGGAAGCCCTGGAACTTATAGTCAAACTCCTGCTCGGCATATTAAAGTTGACCTCTGAATCAGAGCTGTTAGACATGACTGTTTTTGTAACAGAACAAAAGTCATCTGTAGTATTACCTTTAGCAGCTGCAACGACAACATTTTTGTACTGACAATTAGATGTAATGAATTAAAATATGATCATGACAATAAATTGAATAATAATGTTTACTGAGACTATTTTCAGTTTGATAGTTTAAAGTGTAATAGTAAAGTTAAATGTATAACTATTTGCATGTACTTCTTGCTGTGTTCTATTAATTACAGTTCCTTAAGAAGTACTAAGTGGGAAATTTTCAAAAGCACCAACAGATGTAAAAGCATGACTTCCATTGACTTTCAGTTGAACCTGATCTTGATACTTTTGAAAATTTCCCCCCATAGTTCATGAGATTACAGAATGGGTTTTAACTAACACATTACACTGTCAGGGGAGTGAGGAATGAGGTTTAATAGTTTTTCTGTGTAACTCACCTACGGAAAAATGGCAGTTTTAAAATCCAAAATTAGTTTGTGTATTTTAATTAAAATTGTTAAAAATGGTTCTGATGGATTAAAATATGTACGTCTAACATGTGCAATAGCTGCTGCTTATGAGTTTTTATCAAAATTTTACAGAATGTGATTCATAGATGTCATTAAGAATATAATTTGGGGATTCTAAAAGAAAAAGAGGGCAGGAAGTTAAAAGAAGTTTAGAGTGGCATGGGGAAATTGAGAGAGGATTAAAACCATGGAAGGAGAAAACACTGTTTCTCTCTGGCTGGTGGCACAACTGCCCACTGCTACTCTTGAGTACTCCAGTTTGTAGGCTCACACCGCTCACCAGTTGCCTGGTAAGTAGGGTTCCTTCTAAGGTGCATGCCTGTGCAGCTGTGCACCAAAAATGTGCCTATCACCCACATGCTTAGAAGAGCCACACAGTGGCTGCTCAGGTGCTCTGGGGCAGGGCTGCATGGTGGGCAGCTGCCCCACCCCAGGAGCAGCAGGGCAGCCACCACGTGACCCTCACTGTAGCTTCAGCCCTTCACGAGGGCTGGAACTGCAGGCCGCAGGCTGGGTTGCAGCTCCTCTGCTGGCCACAGCCGAGGCCAGAAACAGAGCCACGTCATGGGCAGCGAGCAGTGGCTCCTCTGGCAGAGGAGTCATGGGTGGCCGGCGGCTGCTCCTCTGGCAGCCCCAGCTGGGGTCAGAGCCGAAGGCCATGTGGTGGGCAGTGCGGCCCCGGCTGGGGCGAGAGCTGGAGGCCATGTGGCAGGGGGGAGCTGCTCTGGTGAGGCTGAAGTGTCCCTGCCTGTAGCGTGCCAGGCCCCACAGAGTTGGTGCAGCCCACCAGTTGACTGTAAGTAGTAAGCATCACCCAGTACAGGTGCTTTTAACAATTCCCATCCTTATTTTGAATAGAAGTTTAATAGTTGGATTTTATTGTTTTATATTGCTTTTGTATGTATCCTAGGTTGTTTTTTGTTTTTAAACCACCCAGCTGATGGTCTTTTTTCAGCTTTTAAAAGATTTTAAGTAAGAAGTATTATTTTTGTATTGTATAGATATACCTATAATTTTTAATTTTCTTAAATGATTTTTATTTAGTTGCTTTATTATTGAAGAAGGGATTTAGGATGTTTATTTTGGGTTTGTTTTTATTTTAACTTATTTTATGTTTAATATTAATCACTTAAGGAAAAAATGTTCAAATTTGTGAAAGCATCAGGTCCCTTTGAAGAGTTAACTACCAAAGTTAAGGCTATCCATAGATGCTCGGTGCTAAATAAAGAGTAGCTGTCAGTTTTTCAACCTTGAATAAAGTATTTGAATGGACTTTTATTGACATTTTTAAAAGCTGATTTATTTTGTATAATTTTTTGAAAATCTGAGGTCCCTTGCTATGTTTATTATGAGAGACTAAATATATTATACTTTCTTGGCTTACCTTTGACTAGCTGAAGTTTTGAACTTTTTTGTTTTTAAAATGAGTTTAGACTTTCAAAGAGCTTTGGGGGGTGCTGTGTCTAAATTGCAAGTTATGAACAAATGACTCATTTAAGCTGCTTACATTTCTAAACTACTGTTCATTTTTATATTTATGCTTTGATCAAGGTTTTTTTTTCAGCTAAGTTTTTTTTGGCATAGGCTTTGATAACTTCTGTATTTTAGCAATCATAGAATCATAGAATCATAGGACTGGAAGGGACCTCAAGAGGTCATCGAGTCCAGCCCCCTGCCCTCAAGGCAGGACCAAGCTCCGTCTACACCATCCCTGACAGATGTCTATCTAACCTGTTCTTAAATATCTCCAGAGAGGGAGATTCCACCACCTCCCTTGGCAGTTTATTCCAATATTTGACCACCCTGACAGTTAGGAATGTTTTCCTAATGTCCAATCTAAACCTCCCCTGCTGCACTTTAAGCCCATTACTCCTTGTCCTGTCCTCAGTGACCAAGAGGAACAAATTTTCTCCTTCCTCCTTGTGACACCCTTTTAGATATTTGAAAACCGCTATCATGTCCCCTCTTAATCTTCTTTTTCCCAAACTAAACAAGCCCAGTTCATGAAGCCTGGCTTCATAGGTCATGTTCTCTAAACCTTTAATCATTCTTGTCGCTCTTCTCTGTACCCTTTCCAATTTCTCCACATCTTTCTTGAAATGTGGTGCCCAGAACTGGACACAGTACTCCAGCTGAGGCCTAACTAGTGCAGAGTAGAGCAGCAGAATGACTTCACGAGGTTTGCTTACAACACACCTGTTGATACAGCCTAGAATCATATTTGCTTTTTTTGCAACAGCATCACACTGTTGACTCATATTCAACTTGTGGTCCACTATGACCCCTAGATCCCTTTCCGCCATGCTCCTTCCTAGACAGTCGCTTCCCATCTTGTATGTATGGAACTGATTGTTCCTTCCTAAGTGGAGCACTTTGCATTTCTCTTTATTAAACCTCATCCTGTTTACCTCTGACCATTTCTCTAACTTGCTAAGTTCATTTTGAATTATGTCCCTATCCTCCAAAGAAGTTGCAACCCCACCCAGTTTGGTATCATCTGCAAACTTAATAAGCGTACTCTCTATCCCAATATCTACATCATTGATGAGAATGTTTAGTTCCATCTTTTCCTTCCATGCTTCAGCTATCTGATTTTAACTAAATTTTTATAGTTAAACAATGTAAATGGGATTGTTCTTGTTCCTGCTGTAACCATCACAATTCATTATTTATAGGCTCATTTGTTAGAGAGCACCCATTTCCTTCAGAATGACTGTAAGACCGTGTTCTGTGTTGTGACAAATCACATACTGCTAAGGTAGTCAATAAGCACACTGTGGGACAAATATAGTATATTGACACTTAGGGTCAGCCATAATAATAAAGATGCGTGGGTGAAAGTGCTGATTTAACAGCTCTTTTTATTCTTTGTGACTGGGAAAGGGCTATTTTAGTATTCTTTCTTCCATCACACACACAAACACTTAATTTGGTGGTCATCATTTCATGGTGCCCCATGTGTTTGTGTTCTGATGGGGATGGCCCTGGTCCCAGCCACTCCAAGGCTCTGCTTCTGCTCTACCTCTTCCCCTGAGGTCTCACCCCTGTCCAAGCCAAAAGTTGGAGCTGGGCTAGGGAGTTAGGCCCTTTGACTTGCATGGGGTTGGGGGCTCCAAGAACAGACCTGGGCCCATATCCCTGCCTACCCACCCACAACAAATTGAGAGTCTGTGGCTCCCACAGCTTTCTATGCAGCTGTTATCCTGACCCCACTCTAAGCTTCTGGCCTGGCCTGGCCTGGGGGCAGGACCTAGGGGACCAGAGATGCAGTTTAGCAGGTGTGGGGAGCTGCAGAACCCCATCTGCCTTGAGGGTAAGGACATGGGCTGAAGGCTGCTCTTGGGCCCACCTAACTCAGGCAGGTGGAGAATCAGCAGCTTTCCATAGCTTCCTGGGTTCCCTAAGCCCCTCTTACCTGGGCTGAGCTTTAGCGTCTAGCCTGGCTAGAGGGTAGGACCTTGGGGAAAAGAAGGACAGAGACAGGTCAATGATGAAGAGTGGGACCTTCCCCGTTCCCCCCCATTCCAGTGTCCCGTGTGCCTGTGGCCAAGAGCTAGGAGCAGAGCCACAGTTGGTGCCAGAGCTGAAGCCATGGCTGGGAGTGGGGCTGAGGTCAGAGCTGTGGATGGGGCAGCGGCCAGGAGTGGAGTTGGGAGCTTGTTGCCACGGGAAAGCAGCAGGACACCGATAACAGCATGAACAGTCAGAAACTCTGGGCTCACCCTGGTGTGGCAGTGCACCCTGCACTGGGAGCTATCCATAGAGATGGGGAAGAGGAGAGATCTGGGGCAGGTTCTCCCTCACTGAAAACATAGGGGCAGCAGGTTTGTAGAAATTTTGGTGGTGTCTATAATGCCTGCACCCCTGCCTCACTCATAGGGTTTTCCCCACATCTGCCTGAGGTTCTGGGAGGGACTTGGATGCTGGGTGCAGCTCTGGGCTGGGGCAAAGGAGTGGGGGAGGCAGGAGGGGTGAGGGTTGCAGGCTCTGTGAAGGGGTAGTGGGTATAGGATGGGGATGGGCTGCAGCGCATAGCTGGAGCACTGACCTCTGGCAGAAGCTACTATGCAGGGGGAGTTCAATGAAGTTCAGAACTTCCAGCTCCATGACGCGTTTCCATTTACCCCTCCAGAGGGACCAGGGTGCAAGCTCTGCCCCCCAGACTGGCTGCTGCACCGGGACAAGTGCTACTGGGTGTCTAAAAATAGAACTCCCTGGAACAAGAGCCGTGATGACTGTTCAGGGAGGGGCTCTCGACTGCTAGTGATCCGGGATCAGGCCGAGATGGTAAATAAAATGTGTCCTGGGGACGTGAGCATTGCTAGTAAGAGTTAACACACAAAACCCCTGTGCTGTGTCTGTCAGGGTTGCTCTAGTAACACCCACACAAGTGAAAAAGCAAGGAAATGAAGGTTAAGGCTACCACCCGCACAGAACCTGCGCTTTATAAAACAAGGGCTTTATTTCGAACTACCGGGTCCCTGCTGCGTGTAGACACGGGCAGTTAGTCCGGACTTGTAAATTTCCCAGCAACCAGCCGG